TGTATTATTCAACCTATTTACTTCATGCAAAACGGGGATTAAGGACAGACAGAACAGAAGGAGCGACAGGGAGTCTCTTTGAAAGAATTCTCATCGGATATTCAAATAACTGGAAGTGTTACTTAGGTATAATGTGGTTTTTCACAGTTCAATGCTATATTTAAGGAAATTTCCTATAATCGATGAGACATTGTACATTTCTAATGCCTTAAAGATCCAAGAGTGAGGCTCACTATCAAAAACTTTAAGGTAACCTACCCACGCTGTGCTGAGTTTTATATCTTTTACCTGCAATTTTCCAGGATTATTTTATTTATTATTTGTTTATCTTTGCAACCACATGAATCTTCGGCAGCCCTTCTGTTCCAAGGGCAAAATGTTGTTTTCGGCGAGAAGAGTAAGTACAGTTCGTTAGGACATATGTGCTCAAATTATGTGCTGGACAGCCATCATATTGGCCTAAATTTTTTTATCCGTTTTGATTGGAGATATGCAATACTTTCTGTGATCCTATCAGGAATTTCATTGGGATTATTAATTAACATTGAAAAAGTTTGCACATGATTTTCATGGATTGATGACAGATGATAGAACCCAAAGTTGTGTACCTTATCCTTTCCTGGGGATTTCCATTTTGGGGGATTTCCATTTTGGGGTATTTTCAATTTTGGAGGTTTCCATTTTGGGAGATTTTCATTTGGGAGTATTTCCATTTTGGAGAATTTTCATTTTGAGGAGATTTCCATTTTTGGGGATTTCCATTTTTGGGGATTTCCATTTTGGGGTATTTTCATTTGGGGGTATTTCCATTTTGGGGAATTTCCATTTTGGGGTATTTCCATTTTTGGGTATTTCTATTTTGGGGTATTTCAATTTTGGGGTATTTCCATTTTGGGGAATTTCCATTTTGGGGTATTTCCATTTTTGGGGATTTCCATTTTGAAGGATTTCCATTTTGGGCTATTTCCATTTTGGGGGTATTTCCATTTTAGAGAATTTTCATTTTGAGGGTATTTCCATTTTTGGGGATTTCAATTTTGGGGGATTTCCATATTTGGGTATTTTTATTTGGGGGGATTTCCATTTTGGGGGATTTCAATTTTGGGGGATTTCCATTTTGGGCTATTTTCATTTTGGGGTATTTCCATTTTGAGGCATTTCCATTTTGGGCTATTTCCATTTTGGGCTATTTCCATTTGGGGGTGTTTCCATTTTGAAGGATTTCCATTTTGGGCTATTTCCATTTTGGGGGTATTTCCATTTTGGGCTATTTCCCTTTTGGGGTATTTCCATTTTGGGGGTTTTCAATTTTGGTGGATTTCCATTTTGGGGTATTTCCATTTTGGGGGTATTTCCATTTTGGGAGATTTCCATTTTTGGGGGATTTTGCCTTATGTTAATCTTGGTTATATTTTTCCATTCTTGAACAAATTTATCCTCCATTCTTTCTTGTTCACTTTTGATCCGTTATGCATTGGAATTATATTCATTTCGGCTGATGCAAATATTCCCCAAAAATATTTGCATTTCTTCAATTGATGCTGGCTTATTGACTTTATTTTGTCGATAGAGCCTACAACGTTCTTCATATCGTCATGTTGTGCCTTTAATTGCAGTTTCTATTGAAGTATATCCTTGATTGATGGAACTGCTTTGATTTTATATTTCTACTTGATTCTTCCTGATTAAAACATTTGAATTCCTTGACATCTCATGTAGTATCGATAACTAGATTTTGTCTGTTTCTCGCTTTAATTTTTCCTTATAAGTGGGCTTTTTTTTGTATGTTTCTTTTTTAAGCTTTTGTCTTGATATTAAGTTTTCAATAGCTGCCAAGGTTTTTTTCAGTAGCGGACAAAGCTTTATTATTATTATTATTATTATTATTATTATGTACTTGTCAGAATAATTTTTTGTCTCTCTTTGAGGCATGGACTTCCAGAAATCCCTTCAATTAGTCTACTGAAATCTTTTCCAACCAGTCCAAGGGATTCAACTACAACAGGGATTGTTGATGTTCTCATATGCCACATTTTCGAGATTTCTATTTCAAGGTCCTTGTACTTTGACAACTTTTTGAATATCTTCAAAGATACATTGCAGTCAGCAGGGACTGCCATATCAATAAGGAGGCATCGTTTTTGTTTGTGGTCTTTAATAACAATATCTGGCCGGTTGGCGTTAATTGTTCTGTCAGTGTGTATTGTGTAGTCCCATATATTTTGTAACAGGTCCTATCTCCGTAACCGGATCTGGGTGGTGTTCATACCAGTTTCTTTCAGTTTCCTTCCCGTAGAAGTTGCAGATTTTCCAGTGCAGATATTGGCCCACTCTGTCATATCGGGTTTTATATTCAGTGGGTGCCAACATCGTGCAACCTGATAGAAGATGATCAATCGTTTCTGGAGATTTAGCACAGAATCTGCATTTTGGGCTGACACAATATTTTAGTATATGTGCTTGATAATTCCTAATTGGCAAGCATTGGTCCTGCGCAGCAAGGTTAAAACCTTCAGGTTCCGCTTTCAACCCTGCACTACGTAGCCACTGATGGGTACGGGTTTTGTCTACGTCAGCTTGTTTGGTACGGGCAGAGTATTGGCCATGAAGCCATCGCTTCTGTATCTGGTCGGTTGCATTCGTCTTTGCTGTCTTTTTTTAGGTATTTTGCAGTTTCAGCCGGTGTATTTTGCTGTATGTAGTTGCATCTCTACGCCCATTTGGAACTCCATTTTGAATTTGTTGGCTTCTTTCATTACAGAGTAGAGACGCTTACTACTTTTATGTTCCTTGACGCATACCATCATCCACTCTTCTGTAGTTTCCAAATATCTTTAGAGGCCAATTGTTGTAGTTTTGTAGGACAGTTCTAGTTGAACTAATCCTCTACCTCCTTCGGATCTGGGCACATACAGAAGATCAACATCAGCTTTGGGATGATGCATGCGGTAGCAAGTAATAAGCTTTCTCGTTTTAGCGTCAATTCGCTTAATTTCAGCTATGGTCCAGTTAAGGACATTAAAGCTGTATTGCACCACAGGGACAGACAATGTGTTTATGGCTGATATTCTGTTTTTTGAGTTTAGCTCAGTATTTAGTACCAGATGTACACGCCTGTAGTACTCTTTTCTTATTTTTTCCTTCATTTGGGGGTGTTGTATGCCATCTCCTTCGCTAATTCCTAGGTACTTATAAGTTTCATCATGCTCCAGTTCCCTAATCTTTGTAACAAAATTTAAATTTATTAAGGGTGTTTCTGTAATTCTACCTTTCTTGAATGTTACTCTTGCACATTTATCTAATCCGAAGTCCATACCTATGTCGTCACTGAAGTATTTTACAATATTGAGGAGGCCTTTCAACCCATTGTCGTCTTTGGCAAAGAGTTTGAGATCATGCATGTAGAGTAGGTGATTGAATATTTTCTTATTTATTTTTTAACCATAGCTACTGTTGTTCAGTTCATGTGTAAGAGGGATTAAGGATAAACAAAACAGAAGGGGTGACAGAGAGTCTCCTTGAAAGATTCCACGTCGGATATTCAGACGGTTGGATATGGCGGTACCCCCGGTGTGACTAAGGTATAGTTTGGTGTTCCACATTCCCATGCTGTGCTTAAGGAAATTTAATACCACAGGGGAGACTTTGTACATTTCCAAAGTCTTAAGGATCCAAGAATTCGGAACACTATCAAAGGCTTTACGATAATCAATCCTTGCTGCACTAAGATTTCTGCGTCGCCTTCTGCAATTTTCCAGGATCATTTTATTTATCAGAAGTTGATCTTTGCAGCCATATAAACCTCTTCTGCATCCCTTCTGTTCCAGTGGGAGAATGCTGCTTGTTTCGAAAAAGGAATAAGTACGGTTCGTCAATACAGACGTGATCAACTTTTACAGACGTGATCAACTTTCATTATTATTATTATTATTATTATTATTTCCTTTGATTTCTGGTGTGTACCCATTTCTTTCCCGGTCCTGCCCAGAGACTGAAAGTTAGAAATGGCATCATGACATTTTCAACTGACCAATTAAAAAGAAAAAAAAAATACACACATATTTTGTCGGGTGTACTCGTGAGAACAAGTTTTTGCATTTCTTTAAGCCATGGAATCCAGAAATCCCTTCAGTATCTACTGGAATCTTTTCCAAGGAATCCGGGGACTTCGACTACAACAGGGATTGGTGATGTTCCCATGTGCAACATTTTTGAGATTTCGATTTCATCATTATCATCATCATCATCATCATCATTATCATCATCATTATTATTATTATTATTTTCTTTGATTTCTGTCGTTTACACATTTCTTTCCGGGTCCCGCCCAGGGACCAGGGTTAGACATGGCATCATGACACTTTCCACTGCCAAAAAAAAAAAAAGAAAAATTACATAGAAAAAGCCCTTCGTAAAGTGTGGGCTGTACTTGTCAGAACAATTATTATTATTATTATTATTATTATTATTATTATTATTATTATCATTATAATTATTATTATTATTATTATTATTATTATTATTATTATTATTTCCTTTGATTTCTGGTGTGTACACATTTCTTTCCCACTCCCGCCCAAGACCAAAGGTTAGAAATGGCATTATAACATTTTCCACTGACTAATTAAAAAGAAAAAAAAGATACACACATACATATTTTTCATAGATAAATCCCCCCGCACTAAGCTGTGGTATGTACTAATGACAATTTCTTGTAATTCTTTAAGGCATGGGCTTCAAGGAATCCCTTCAATGAATCTACTGGAATCTTTTCCAACAATTCCGAGGGTTCCAACTACAACAGCGATTGTTGATGTTCCCATGTGCAACATTTTTGAGATTTTAATTTTATTTATTATTATTATTATTATTATTATTATTATTATTTTATATTTGATTTTTTTAACAGAGTTTTCTCTTTTTTTAAACTCACACTTATGAATTTTTTTCTATTTTTTTTGTTTTGTTTTCATAAAAAAAATATATATCCGATAAATCGGATGATCTATTCACATGTTCTTGATCATTTGATCCTGCTACTTCATTATCTTGTCTGTCTGTCTGTTGAGGAAAGATGTATCGTCTGGGATTGCAACATCAAGGAGAAGAAAGGACTTTGATTTTCTCTCACAGAGTTCGTTGTTGGCTCAGTCGGCCAGTTTTCGCCTTGTCTGCGTTCATATACATGCAACACATAATTATTGTATGGCTGATGTAAATTACCACAAGTGGCGCACATTGTTATTATTATTACTACTACTACTACTATTATTATTATTATTATTATTGTTATTATTTGTTTTTCCTTTTATCTGGGGTTAGGCAAAGGAGAGATTTTCCAGAGCATATCTGATTTCTGTATCGAAGTGCAATCTTCGTGTTGTATATTGAGTTAGTATCGATTTCCCATAGATCTTTTGGGAGACGAATTTACAGTGTATTGCGAGGTCAAGGGTCAGAGGAAGAAAAAGAAAAAAAAATCAGGCCAAAGTAATGATGCTGATGAAAATGTTTTTTTTTTAAGTATTTGAACATTACGATGATATAGATAAAAATGAAGTCCTTAAGAAATATTTAGAGAATTCAAATATAAGTTTCTGTGATATAAACGACCCTGACCTGGCATATCGACTTCAGTCACTTTCTCGCCGGAGTGACGCGACTTCCTTCTGTATTTGGTTTTTGCCAAGAATCTCTGGAAATGTAGCAGAAGCATTAGACCAGATGTGGCGCCAATAGTTAACACATGTTTGCACTGTCTTAGAAAAGTAAAAAAAAAAGATTGGAAGAACTTTTTAAAACCAGTTTTCGTTATACAAAAATATTATACTTACCTGGCTTATGTCAGAGAGTATCCCCCAGACGAGGCTATGCCGAAGGGCAGAGGCTCGTCTCGGAAAGCTGACTCCGTTTTTTAAGTGGTCTATAGGGAATTTTTTTCCGAGCCTACGGGTTCAGATACCCCACTTTAAACTCGGCCTTGTGCCACATCTTGCTGCGTGAGACAGCGGGTAAATAATTATACGTCTTTTAAGGGAAGTCTGCTGAAGAGTGAATGAAATTTTCCCGGAATTCAGTGTGGTAACCAGATAAATGTACATGTAATTGCACATATAGAATGATTGTCACTTCGTTGCTGAAGAAGATCATCATTTTACTTGGTAGCTTTTTTTGTCTGTCTATATTTCTGAGATGAGGTATTATGTACAGTATTTACATTATTCGGACTATTGTCCTCATCTTAGCGACAAAGATGAGGACAATAGTCCGAATAATGTAAATACTGTACATAATACCTCATCTCAGAAATATAGACAGACTCTGAAGGATCGGTACGGACCCGATATACCAAAAATATGGAGACAAATTGAGAAATCCTACCAGAAACTGGCACGGCGACAAAGATGAGGACAATAGTCCGAATAATGTAAATACTGTACATAATACTTCATCTCAGAAATATAGACAGACTCTGAAGGATCGGTACGGACCCGATATACCAAAAATATGGAGACAAATTGAGAAATCCTACCAGAAACTAGCTTTTTTGTGTTTTTCATTTAGAATTTTATTATTTCCATCATTTTTAGCCGTGCTAAGTCACAGCTATTGACCGGTAAGTGATTTCTTAAGGCCAGCTTCATTTTTACAACCTCTCTTGCAGACGTCACAAACATATCGCCTGTGCTACATATGTTCGCTGTCCCATATCTTTGATTTGGGATCGCTGCAAATCAACCTTCTTTAGCCAGATCTATCTCCACCAACAGTTTCGTGGTCTTCAACATTAACGCCAAGTGTCTTTAGTTTACATTTAACTACATACTTGAGACTTTTTTTTGCGGGGGGGTATTAGCTGGTTGATTATCTTGTACCAAATCAGCATACGTGTCAGATGACCTGTCCAGCGCATTTGATTCTGAAGAAGCATTTTTTTTATATGCTGAAAGAATTCTATGTCTGGTGTACAAGACTGCTAATTGATGTTCAATGTTACGACCCAGATACAACATAATTAGGGACCTTTTAAAAAAGAACAAAAGACCCTAATATTGCTTGTGTTACATATGTTGACTGTCCCATGTGTACAATTATGTAATGTTTGTGTCCAGCAAGTGACTTTCAAATATTGTCGCAAAACTCGCACAAGTAACCTGCAAGTTTTTTCTGGAAGGGTTGCATTCACAAGACTTTGTGCCTGAATTCTCTGGAGTGATATGTGACTGCCTAAACCAGCCGCCGAGAGGGTGACTTTTACACAAATCCTGCATGTGTGTTGGTATCCTAATAGCGCTGGGACTGAATCTATTTCTCCTTTCTCAATGGCGCGCTTTTTGTTGGAATGCTCAGTTCTCTTCTACTCAAAAGTAATGCAGCGATCGCAAACCAACCTTCTCCAGCCAGACCTATCACCAGCAATAGTCTCCTAGTCTTCAACTTTAATGCCAATAGTCTTTAGTTTACATTTAACTACATACTTGAAACGTTATTTTTTTTGGTGGTGGGCGGGTGCTTATCAGCGGGTCGATTACCTATGTTCCAGCTCACCATACGTGTCAGATGACCTGTCCAGCGCATTTGATTCCGGGGACGCAGTTTTTTTTATGCTGAAGGAATTTTGTGCCTGCTGTACAAGTCTGCTAATTGATGTCCAAGTTTCGACTCAGGCACAGCATAATTAGGAACCTTAAAAAAATCCTAATTGTACATATATATATATATATATATATATATATATATATATATGTATAAACAGTTCCTGTTTGTTCCGTATCCCATCATTCTGTCAGATTATTATCTAAATTTGATCTATATTTGAGCCCAATTCATATATATATATATATATATATATATATATATATATATATATATAAATAAATATATATGATCAAAATAAAAGAGAAATACATTTCTCTGTTTTAATTTTCAATCTCCCGTGGAAGCCTGACGAGCAGGGCGAAACCGGTTGCTTCCCCCCCTGTTGTTGAGTTGTTTTTTTTTTATTATTTAATACTGTTTTAATATGTCTGGTAATATTAAATTTTATACTTTTATTTCGATCATTAAATTTTGTACCTACAAAAATATCTTTAAAATATATATATATATATATATATATATATATATATATATATATATATATATATATATATATATAAGTAAAAAAAGTTGTATTAGATGTTTACGACAAGTTATGATTTAAGTTGACTCTTTTGATTCCAATCGCAATTTCTTACAGTTAACTGTTACATCCCTCTTCCTATAACCTTACTTCCTTTCCTTCCACACTGGGGTTGAAAAGATAGACAACCACTTTTGTCATTCTCCGAAATAGCTTATTCCTCATATGAGCTAAATCATTTCTTAGATTATATATATATATATATATATATATATATATATATATATATATATCTGTTTATATGTTATTTTAGTATATACGATTTACTTAAACAAACGCTCTCTTTTTTAAATAGAAAGTATTAATTGCATTTACAGGCTTGAATGTTCGAGAAATTTCGTCGAAAATATGTGCTATTTCAACAGAAATCGAACTTGTAATCCAAATGTGAAATATCATCTGATCTCATGTTCTGTTAACCATTCATCTACATAGAAGCATCTGATTAGCAAAGTCTGAATTACTGTTTATAAACAACAAATCTTCGAGGGTCTTTTCTGAAAATCATATCTGCTCACGAAACGTACCTTAACGTAAACATTGACAACATATTATGAAATGGATTAAGTCCGACAATATTACATTTTCTCTTTATACGTTATTTTAATAGACGCAATTTATTTAAGTAAATGCCCTGTTTGTTTGTTTTTTTAAATGAACAGTGTTAATTACATTTACCGGACTGTATATGTAAATGTAGATCAAAACCATTATATTGCGTCGACAAACTTTATTGAATCACTATTGACATTATTCGGACTATTGTCCACATCTTTTTCGCCATATTTATTGCTGTACGTTTCAGCCTTCTTCGGGTGATTGGAATGTCGAACTGAACCCTTTATTTCGCTCACTGGGGTAGACTGTTTTAGTTCCACGTGCCATGTTTTAATGGATGTCATTTATCAGTTATCTCCTGTTAATTCCCCTCTGAAAGTTCTCCACTGCCTTAACCGGGTATTGAACTCACACTCTTTGGGTCCTGTCACTGGATCTAACTAATGCCTTTATCCACTGTGTCGTTCCCAGTAATAAGGAGTACCAGAGAAAAGCGATAATAACAACAAACATTTGAACTAGTATACGATAGTCCTGGTACTTGCAAGAATTTTCACGTGCGTTTCACAGTCTTGGAACTATCAAGAACATTCAACGAATATTTCATAGTCCTGGAACTGGATAGGATTTCTACGTGTATTATGTGTCTGTCTATATTTCTGAGATGAGGTATTATGCACACTATTTACATTATTTGGACTATTGTCCCCATCTTTGTCGCCTTATTTATTACAACGTTTCAGCCGTTGTACGCTCCCGTCTTCTTCAGCTGGTCGGAATGCCGAACTGAACCCTTTATTTCGCTCACTGGGGTAGACTGTTTAGTTTCACGTGCCATGTTTAATGGATGTCACTTATCACTTATCTCCTGTTAATTCCCCTCTGAAAGTTCTCCACTGCCTTAACCGGGAATTGAACTCACACTCTTTGGGTCCTGTCACTGGATCTAACCAACACCTTTATCCACTGTGCCATGTGTCCTTGAGGACATCCATTAAACATGGCACGTGGAACTAGAGGAGTCTACCCCAGTGAGCGAAATAAGGGGTTCAGTTCGACATTCCAACCACCTAAAGAAGGCCGGAGCGTAAAACGGCCGAAACGTTGTAATATATATGGCGATAAAGATAAGGACAATAGTTCGAATAATGTAAATAGTGTACATAATACCTCATCTCAGAAATATAGACAAATACTGAAAGGCCTAAACGTTGTAATAAATATGGCGACAAAGATGAGGACAATAGTCCGAATAATGTAAATAGTGTACATAATACCTCATCTCAGAAATATAGACAGATACTGAAAGGCCGAAACGTTGTAATAAATATGGCGACATAGATGAGGACAATAGTCTGGATAATGTAAATAGTGTACATAATACGTCATCTCAGAATTATAGACAGATACTGAAAGGCAGCGACGTTGTAAAAAAGATGGTGACATAGATCAAGACAATAGTCTGAATAATGTAAATAGTGTACATAATAATCTCATCTCAGAAATATAGACAGATTTCTTGAATCAATTCTTAAATCTAACGCAGGTTTATCTAATGAAAACAGTAAAAAGTTTCCGAAATCAACTGCGAAAAGAAACTAACCATAATTCTAAACATATATACAAACACACTTACGAATATAGATTATCATCAGAATCTCTTATGAACATACTAAAATTATTATACACTAATGTACATAAAGTAATATTGAGGTTGTTTCAAATAGGCTTGGAATCCGTAAATTTTCTAGAAGCTTCGAAGGGACGCGTCGTCTTTCCTTGGATTTGAAGCGCCATATATCATACTAACGTTAGTTTAACATGTCAAATGTATGTGAAACTTGATTAACTAATGTACATCAATGAAAGAACGATAAATATTTAATATATTTTCTTTTTATACGTTATTTTGATATTTTTTTATCGGTCTGAATGTTCCAGAAATTATTTAATACTGTTTATTTAAAAAAAAAAAGCAAAAAACACAGCCATTAATAAAATGAATTGTGTCTATTGTTATGAATAATCAAGAGTGGTCTCCCCTTGTTTTATTACTCTTCTCTTTTTTCTGTTTACTAACACTATACGCCTACCTTGTATTCTCAGTTTAATAAAGCTTTCTTAAAGCATACACCTGCGTACTTTTGTTTTTATGTCTTTTAAAATTGATATCCGTTAAACTGCAACGCACTTAAAAAGCCAGCAAAAAAGATGCGTTAATGCTTTTCAGTCCGCTCTTTTAGTAATCTCCCAGTCAGCATCTCCTTCACTTTTCAAGACCAACCTCTATCGGGAATACCATCAGTTGCCATGTAGCATTCTTCCTGTTGTCACAGGTCTGAAGGCATTTTCGTTGCGATCTCGAAGGAAACAGCAATCACAGGGTGCGACAACCCGTCTGTCTGTCGTGAAGCAGCAACACATGGGACATGCGATGTTTTGCCAAAGATAAAAGCAAAAGGAAGACCAGTAGGAAGCGTGAAAAAGAGACCGAATAATTGAGAATGTGATGTACACCCGGTAGACAAACTCAACTCAGTAATCTCACTGCCGATGAAACACCTCACAGGATAGTGTCTGTTTGTAGTCAGGTCATCTCTCAGCATGGTTGATAAATTACAGGAAACATTTTCTACAGCCTCATTCTCTCATTCTCTCTCACTCTCTCACTCTCACTCTCTCTCACTCTTTCACTCTCTCTCTAACTCTCTCTCTCACTCTCTCTTTCACTCTCTCTCTCACTCTCTCACTCTCTCTCTCAGTCTCACTCTCTCACTCTCTCTCACTCTCTCTCACTCTCTCACTCTCTATCTATCTTTCTACGTACACATACATATATAAACATTTTCTACAGCCTCATTCTCTCATTCTCTCTCACTCTCTCTCTCACTCTCTCTCTCTTTCACTCTCTCTCTCACTCTCTCTCTCTCAGTCTCACTCTCTCACTCTCTCTCACTCTCTCTCACTCTCTCACTCTCTCTCACTCTCTCACTCTCTCTCTCTCTCTATCTATCTTTCTACGTACACATACATATATATGTGTGTGTGTGTGTGTGTATAAAGAATGGATTATTCAGTTATTAATACAACATATTTTAATTTATTACTCAAATCTTATTTCTAATGGATATTCATATTTGCGTAGACGCTCTATTTTTATTTATTTATTAAACAGTACAGTTATTTCCATTTATCGTCCATACATCGTATTTGAAAAATAAATAAATATACTTTATATATATATATATATATATATATATATATATATATATATATATATATATATATCAGATCTAATGATCTTTTTTTTCCTAAGGAACACAAATTCGTATCGTAGCCGGAGAGCCCCTATTTTTCTAATAAGATTTCTCGAATATTCACACACACACACATATATATATATATATATATATATATATATATATATATATATATATAGAGAGAGAGAGAGAGAGAGAGAGAGAAAGAGAGAGAATGAAGAAAAAAAATGACTGAGCTCGAGATGCCAGATCAGAATCAGTTACACTGCAGACCATTCTTTAAACCTTGTGAAGAATCTCGAGCATCAGACGAGATACCACAGCAGTATTCAATGCACGGAAGGTGGTAGTTGGTATTCGCACTTTTGTTTCACCAAAATAATCTATTTGATTGAGATGGGCGAATTATTAATCTCTTAGTCATCATTACCTTCTTTTAAAAAAAATGAATAAACCTAACATATTGCTAAGCAATGTAGCCGTTTACAACATGTGTGCGAAGAAGCGGAAATTTTATCGAGAGTTTATTAGATGAGGATCTGAAAGCAAGAATAATTTTCTTAATTAATATTATATGGCCTTTTTTTTTTACAGCAGATTCCGTCATTGATTCCTGTCTCGTAATACTCCGTCTAGCTTTTGAAATGCGTCTTTGTCCATCCCAATACGTCTTCGGATCTCAGTGTCGCACATTCTTTCCTCTGTCAGACCATTTTCCAAATATATAAACTTCTGTACTTGTTTGATTTTAGTGTGCCCGACCTGTAAATCGCATTTTGGGCTCATCTTTTGGCTGATAACCTTGCATTCTGTCTTCTTTTACTTCATATTAGGTTGGTGCAAAAATATTGACGTAATAATGTCGTATTTGACGTTAAAAATGTGTCAAAAAAACGACATTACTACGTCATAATTAATACTTAATATTATTATATTAATAACAACCTTATATTAATACCAACCTAATACTTAGTCTCTTCTTCTCGCTCTCCTTCGCGGCCTTCTGTCGGAGGTTTTATTGTATCCTTTCCCTCTCTGCTATCAGCACTGTGTCATCTACATATCTTATGTTCTTAAGATAGTGGCCGCTAATCTTGGTGAGATTTCCATTTCTCTCAGCATTGCCTCGCTGTATTGGTTTAATAAGTCCGGTGAGAAGACACATCCTTGCCTTACAACACATTCTATTTTTGTATATCTCTTGAACCCATTCGTACTGCGCTAAAATACGAAACATACCATAGCGAAGAGATCATCTGAACAACTGTCATGAAATTGTTTGTAGAAATGAATAGGAAGGAAACCTTACGGCGGTGGAAAAGTGACTGAAGCCGAGACGTCAGATCAGAACCAATAATATTG